ATTGATATAAAGACAGTTTATAACCCACGAAAACTAATTTCAAAATAACACCGTATGTGTTCATTTATATTTGTACATCAATGTTATATTGACACATCTTTAGAAAAGGTCTTTACATCTTTCGATTTTATTCATTTTTTCAATAACACGTTCAGAAAAATATAGATCTTTGTTTGAAGCATCGTATTCAGTATCAACATGATATGAGGGAAAAACATCATACTCGTCTCAAATTTAAACATCGTATGGGGTTATTTCATTGGATAAATGTGAAGGAAGATTTGCAGTGTAAAAATGTGATACTCTTATGGTGGTATAAATACAGTTCCAATGTGGTGTACCATCGAGTCATGACAAGCCACACGTTATACTATTATATAGATAATAAGAATATTTATTCTAATAGGTTGAATAATTGTCAGGATACAATAAACTATAACACCAAATAGATTAAATTAGTTTTCAGCGGCCAATATTTCAAAGCTAACATCTTCAAAATTATATTATTATTGTCAGAAATGTGCGATAAATTGGGGAACACTCGCCAAAAAAATTGACCGGAAATAAAGATACATATAGCACACTCAATTGTGCCTGTCCCAAGTCAGGAGACTTTAATTTCAGTGGTTTTCGTTGGTTCATGTGTGTCATACTTGTTTTTTCATAAATTGTATTGTTATAAATTATGCCGTTAGTTTTCATGTTAGAATTGTTTCACATTTTTCATGTCGGGCCTTCTTTAGCTGCATGACTATACGATATGGGCTTTTCTCATTGTTTTGTCTGTTTTTCCGAGACTAAGGGTTTTGAATAACCGCATAGTATCTGTCCATTTTTGCACATAAACTAAAGCTAACAATAGCTAACAAAACATAAAAATATTCAGATTACAGAAAGCTTTTTTTATGCCAAGCTAATAATTCATGTCAGTAATTTTAGACTTATTTATCTATATAGACTTGTTCGTTGTTTCATTCATTTGTTTGCAAGTTCAATAAGAAGCATTCAAATGGCTCATTCTAAAATTTGGTAGCGCTATCTTGTCTTCAACTCAATTACGACGTCAAAAAGTGGTGGATACATGTACTTAAAAAAGTAAGAAGATGTGGTATGATTGCCAATGAGACAACTCTCCACCATAGACTAAATGACATAGAAGTTTACAACTATAGGTCACCATACAGCCTACAACAATGAGCAAAACCCATACTGCATAGTCAGCAATAAAAGACACAGGAATGACAATATGTAAAACATTCAAACTAGAAAACTAACTGTCTGATTTATTTACATAACAATGAACATATTTACTGTTAAAGAATTTTCTGATGCTGTCTCTAATTCTGAGCCAATTTAAACTTTTCCTGGTTGTTTATGGTTATACTCAAATCTAGGAAGTATATGGGAAGTATAGTTTGTTACCCGTCAGTCATTCAGTTAGTACATCAGTTAGTTTGTTACCCGTCAGTCATTCAGTTAGAACATCAGTTAGTTTGTTACCCATCAGTCATTCAGTTAGTACATCAGTTAGTTTGTTACCCGTCAGTCATTCAGTAAGTACATCAGTTAGTTTGTTACCTGTCAGTCATTCAGTTAGTACATCAGTTAGTTTGTTACCCGTCAGTCATTCAGTAAGTACATCAGTTAGTTTGTTACCCATCAGTCATTCAGTTAGTACATCAGTTAGTTTGTTACCCGTCAGTCATTCAGTTAGTACATTAGTTAGTTTGTTACCCATCCGTCATTCAGTTAGTACATCAGTTAGTTTGTTACCCATCAGTCATTCAGTAAGTACATCAGTTAGTGTGTTACCCATCCGTCATTCAGTTAGTACATCAGTTAGTTTGTTACCCGTCAGTCATTCAGTAAGTACATCAGTTAGTTTGTTACCCGTCAGTCATTCAGTTAGTACATCAGTTAGTTTGTTACCCATCCGTCATTCAGTTAGTACATCAGTTAGTTTGTTACCCGTCAGTCATTCAGTAAGTACATCAGTTAGTTTGTTACCCATCCGTCATTCAGTTAGTACATCAGTTAGTTTGTTACCCGTCAGTTTTTCAGTAAGTACATCAGTTAGTTTGTTACCCATCCGTCATTCAGTAAGTACATCAGATAGTTTGTTACCCATCCGTCATTCAGTAAGTACATCAGTTAGTTTGTTACCCGTCAGTCATTCAGTTAGTACATCAGTTAGTTTGTTACCCGTCAATCATTCAGTTAGTACATCAGTTAGTTTGTTACCCATCAGTCATTCAGTTAGTACATCAGTTAGTTTGTTACCCGTCAGTCATTCAGTAAGTACATCAGTTAGTTTGTTACCCGTCAGTCATTCAGTAAGTACATCAGTTAGTTTGTTACCCGTCAGTCATTCAGTAAGTACATCAGTTAGTTTGTTACCCGTCAGTCATTCAGTAAGTACATCAGTTAGTTTGTTACCCATCCGTCATTCAGTAAGTACATCAGTTAGTGTGTTACCCGTCAGTCATTCAGTTAGTACATCAGTTAGTTTGTTACCCATTCGTCATTCAGTTAGTATATCAGTTAGTTTGGTTTTCCCGATGCTTAATCAAATATACTTTATCACTTAATCAAATACTGTTACAAAATTTTTAGAAATTATTTTAAATTATGGAATATACCTCCCTCATGCAAAGCTCTGATTCCTTGCCTGGCTTTGGCTTTATTTGTTTTGTCCTTTTTGTTTTATAGGTCTTTATCTTTCTTTTAAATAAGCTTTGGATTTTCAAATATTTTGGCCTCGGGCATCACCGAAGAGACTGTAGTATGAAGTAGAAGATAACAACACGAATATATATTATATAAATATTTTTAGTGAAGAATCATTGATCCTACATCGCTAATTATTTTTCAAATTTAATATACAAGATAAAAACTGTTTTGTATGTAACATATGGCCAATGAATTAGTTATAAGAAGATAATGATTTATATTGCTAGGTATCAGTTGATCAATAGTTATCTATCGCCATGGATTAGATCATACCACAAAAGGTAAGTTACAAATTATACTATGATAACAGCCAGGAACAATTACAAAGACAAGAACACAACACTTTCTTTTTATTAACATGGACAGTCCTACATATTCAGGTAATCCGTCATATAAACATGAACTGACAAAAGGAAAGGAGAACCAATGACTCGATCGGCTCTTCCAAAAATAGTCTCAAACTGAATAAGAATATCATTAATTGTCTAAACATAACTCTTGTCACAAATATAGACATTTTGTTGAAGAAGTATAATTCTACCTGTTCTACTAGGCGGCATTTTACACCAGCATATAACAGTACTGTAATGATATTTATAACGCAAAAAAAGTTTCATTGTCCTTTAAATCGTTTGATTTAGCTTAACACTATTTTTAATAAAAGTTGTTACATGTATTATATTTTCGTTGTTGAATTATAGCGCTTTCTGGTTTGTTGTTGGTATTGTTGGTTGTTTGTTTGTTTGTTTGTTTTTGTTTGATTTGTTTTGTTTTTTTGTTTTTTTTTTTGGGGGGGGGGGATCGCACTTGCAACTTTTGTTATTTATTAATTATCTAAACTCGTTGTTTACCTCTAGAAGTCTTTATGCAATCTAATTAATATAGAGATCTCGGATTTCGTTATCCTCATATGACCGACCGTGCAAGGGCTGTATAGCCAGTCAAGGTCGTTAAAAACTTTCATATATATCCTCATATGAGCTGATATATACGAACACGCGAGTTAATATAGATATGAATTTTAATTAGATTGGTCTTTTTTTTTTTGTTGTTGGCGTACTTTATCATTGATGTAAATCGACCTAACATCTCCATTTGAGTACTTTTGTATAGAATTATGAACTCTGTAAGATATATGTTATAATGCAATTGAGTTAATTGTTATCTTCCTGAAGTCTAGTGCCACATTTCTTATACATTTTCTAAACAAGAAAAATAAGATCCCGTGTGGATGTGATTGTCAAAATAAAGAGGGAATGTTGAGAACATTTTGTATTGTAACAGATAACTCATTCGCATTTTGAAAGAAATTTTGTGATAACAGTTCTTTGATATGCAAAAAGTTTGGTACAACGGTACATAATTAAAAGTTCACATATGTCGGACGTAACAGGATTTTAAATTTTTACATCCAGCACAGCAAAACGAGCTCCCGTTTAAGTGTCGTACTGAATGGACGGAATTAGATTAGAAACCCATGACAAGTATCTGTATTCACCTTAGCAATGGTTAAAATTAGAAATCAGATCATACTTTTGACACATTATCATGACACTCAGCTATGAAGGATCACATTAAACTAATGGTATATTTCAATATTTTATTCAAACAAAAGCTTTCTTCCTTCCGTTATATAATTTAAATTACAGATAAGCTATATATGTTTTATACTTTGTTGGTCTCTTTACAGCAGATTCCATTGAGTGTGTAGCCAAAGGTAATATCTTTGGTTAGCTTGCTTGTTAGCTGAACCGTGAAGTCATTATTAGGTCAAGTATACTACCCTCCTTTCGAAGTAGCGTAGTCCAACAGACCGATCGATTGGTTTTCTGTCGGACTAGTCTATTCTTAAAGTAGGGTAGTTTACCTAACCTAACAATGACTTCACGGTTCAGCTAACAAGCAAGCTAACCAAAGATATTACCTTTGGCTACACACTCAATGGAATCTGCTGTAAACAGTTTTAGAATAATGGTATTGTAAACGATAGGGTCAAATTCAAATTTTAACTATTTAATTTTGTGTATTTAGATAAAATAGTTTACTACCTTTTCCTATAAGTAACGAGTTTATTTAAAAATGTACAACATAACATTAAATATACGTCACATAAGTCAGGAAGTTGGAATAAATTTAATTATTAATTCCCAATTTTCTTCTTTATTAGTGTTCATATCCAGATAAAACTTGGTAAATATGTTTTTTATGGTATTATGAACATAATAAGATGAAAAGTAAAAAATCGCGAATTTTCCCTTTAACGATAAAATTCTGTACAAATTCAAATGAAGTGGATGTACGCAATTATAGGCAACCGTACGGCCTTCAACAATGACCCAATAAAAACCCATACCGTATAGTCGGCTAGAAAACGCCTCGACATAAAAAAATATGAAACAATTCAATTGAGAAAAATAACGGCCTAATTTATAACAAAACAATTTACGTAAAAAAAAATATGACAGACATGAACCAACGACAACCACTGAACTACAGGCAGTCTATTTAATAGTACCGAAATCCGTACACTTAAGTTGATATTATAAAAGAACAATTTACCAATTTGCTAAACATCTTGGTCCTAAATTATTAAGAAAATACATGGACAAGGTACTTGAACTAATAACATTAATCAATTTTTCTGCACCAGATGTGCATTTCGACAATTAATAAATGTCTCTTCTGTGATGCTCGAGGCCAAAATATTTGAAAATCCAAAGATTTAAAAAAAAAAAGGAAAAGCTTATAAACCAAAAAAGGACAAACATGTACAGCCAAGGAATCAGACCTTTGCATGAGGGAGATATATTCCTTAATCTAAAATAGTTTCCTAAATTTTGTAACAGCAAATTTTGATAACACAAAATCCTTTCATGTCAGTACCGAAGTACTGGCTAATGGGCTGGTGAACAGTGAGAATACATTGTTTTTACACATATTGATTCATGACTGATTGCTAATTACAGTAACAGAAACTTGTGTAATATTAACCAAGTTGCAGTACACCATGGGCCTAAATTATTTAAAATAAAATTCGGACACGGTATTGTATTTTTCACGCGTATTGATTCAGTATACTAACTATTATATTTGCTAATAACTGTAACAAAAATATATGTGATGTTTACATACCGAAAAATTTAAACTGCTTATGTACATAAAACTTGTAATAAGTTTGCATATGTCTACAGTATAGCGTATTTTAAATATTTTTAAACTACCTGTACACTTACATACGTATGTATTGTTTTTCATTACCAATATATAAGCCACTTAAAGGTTTTCTGGTCTTTTCAAACAGGGAGCAATTACACGACAGGGTAAGACATAGTTAAAATATCAATAATAATTCTGTAGCTCAAATAGATTGGCTTATGTATACAAATGTATCTTTTATTATTGTATTTTATGTCTGTATGCATAACAGGGGCGGATCCAGACATTTAGAAAAGTGGGGTTCCCCAACCTAGGATAAAGGGGGGGGTTCCAACTATATGTCCCCATTCAAATACATTGATCGTCAAAAAAAGGGGGTTCCAACCCCCGGAACCCCCCCCCCCCCCCCCCCTTTGGATCCGCCACAACATAAGGTGAACCATAAATAAAATATTGAATTGTATTTTATTGAATTCTATTAGTTGACAATGGTACAACCAAACGTAGTCAGCAATTCACATTAATAAGTTTAAATAGTATACCATCTTTGTTTTTAATCTATGTGTACTTTTTATTCTTTCAAATAAAAACTTGTATACGTTAAAAGCCAGACAATACCAAAGGGTAACCAAAAATCATAAATTGAAGAAAGACACCATAAACAATAGAAAAAAAGACGATTGATTATTGATTGGTTGGTTATTAACGCCACTTTCAGCGCTATTTCGTGGCTGTCAGTTTTTATTAGTGGAGGAAGCCGGAGTGCCCGGAGAGAACCACCACTCTTCGGTAAGAAAAATGACATTCCTAGTCAATTAAGATTGGAATCTAGCGCACCAGTCATGTGCGGGATTCAAACTCACAACCTCAGTGTTGACAGGCTAGTGATATAGTAGTTCGACTACATAGACAAATCGGCCACTGAGGATCGGAAAAAATAGGCGAAAGAGCATCACAATCCACAAATCATTACACAGGAAACTTTTATTTGAACGTCACTAAATACATCAAGACCCGGGAGTGAACTTAGTTTGCTATATTTCTTTAGGAATGAAAAATGTTATGAGATGGATTAATAGAATTTGATCATATTTACGAACATGGAGCCTTAGCGTCGGATGCCCATTCAACAGTCTTATGAAAGGGTTTTCAAATGGAACGTTCTCATAAATCAGTTAATAGTCAAAGTTTCTCTCTCGGCTTGTGAAATTTTATTGTATTCTTGATATCTTCCGCTTTCATTTTACCTGCATCGCCAACGTCAAAAGCAGGTCTAGTTACCATACAAATCCGTCGATCAGTCCGTTCGCCCGAAAGATCATGGATAGAAAACTTTCGTCCAAGTGTTCATGGCTTCTACGAAAGAGAATGATTTGATATTTGCAGCTACTTCCTGTTTGCCAATAGTTTGAAATTTCAATCATATTATACACAGTGACGCAGGTATTAGACTTGCTACAACTATATAAGGGTTCAGTTGTGTAATTCGGTTGTCTATAATGTATAATACAGCTGAAGTCTAATAATAACTTGCTTACTTCCAAACTATTGGTTTCCATCATATAAAAGTGGTGTATGCAGGGCAATCAAATCATACGATTTTCTCACCATAGACATTTTTAAGTTTCAACATAAAAAGAATGATTTACTTTTTCAGTATGACAGAACTTCTTATACAATTATCATATACAGTTTTAATATATGTATGGCCATGTTTTCATTTTCTTTCAGGATAAAACAAGAACACTGTACTAGGGTAACACAGTTCTTGTCGCTTGAATGATGAACAGAAAGAGAGGACTATGGAAAACCACTCTAATTTTCATACTTTCCATTCTTTTTATTTACATGATCATCCCGAAAAATGCCACCAAATGTGTTACAACGGAAGATGCCAAAAACGAACGAAATGTTGCAAAAATTATAAAACAATTTCAGGAGGGCAAATCGAATGAAATCTCCGAAATTAATAATAAGTCTGACGTCTTGCGAAACTTGCCGGATCTATTTCTAGGATATGACAAATTATTATTCAAAGATTTGGAGAATAATTTCATTCCTAATCATATTTATTATATGTGGTGTTACAACCGTACAATTGAGTTCAGGCAATATCTATCTATACTTGCAATATGGAAAACTATGAGACCCGACTCTATTACCCTCTTTACAAGATATAACATTACTGACAGCAACGAACATTATAATTTTTGGCTTACAGACCTATTAGTATCGATTCCTAGTTTCAAGGTTCAGAAACTTCCACCGTCTTCTAAGGATGACGTAGAAGGTTGTGGAATCAGTGTTGCGTTTGATATATTAGATCATGATGGCGGAATATACTTCTCAGATGATTTCTTTCCATTAAAATCTTTACGTTTTATTCGTAAAAATAAATTTAATGTTGCCATGACGAAAAACATGAAACAATTAAGTTTCGTCTCTTCTTCTCGTCGAAATGACAGACTCAAATCATTTATCAAACTGTACAAAAACAACATTAGCCAACCCTTAGTCACTGGTCTTCATTTTTGTGACATCCTTGAAAATGTTAATAAATCCATTTTGCAGAGTAAACTTTGTGTCCACGTCCGAAATGTGTTACCTGCACAAATAATGCATGCAGATTCTGAGTTTGGAAGATCAGCACGTCGGATTTTATATGGTAATTCAGAACAAATAAAGGTGAAACCGTTACTCCCAGGAGTTATACCAAAGATTTTCCACATGGTATGGTTCGGACATAAACCAATGGACTTTACAATGTATTTGTGCTTGAGGAGTATTTTGACAATTGTTAAACCTGACAAGGTATACATTCATGGCGATGGACTAATGTATGGCGAGTATTTACAAAAGATAAAGAAGGACCCGAGAGTGGTTTACATACACCGAGAAACACCAACCCATGTTTTTGGACACCAGATTTTGTACACGCAGCATAGAAGTGATATAATAAGAGCAGACGTTTTGCTAAAATATGGAGGGATTTATAGTGATTGGGATGTCCTATGGTTGAAGCCAGTTGATGATTTAATTTCAAAACAGCATGACACAATTTTAAACCTTGACCACATGCCTCGACCAGGATTTCCAGATTCAATTAATTTAGGAGTTTTAATGTCGAAACCTGGTTCACATTATATCAAACATTGGCAAGACTCGCTCGTAAACTATAGATCACGTGACTTTTTCTTCAACGCTATTGAACTCCCTTACAAAACATTTGAAAAATACCCTGAAACTGTTTTCATCGAACCTCATTTACAGGTTATGTGTTACTATCTAAAATGTCATCCAACTTTTCACCCTCAGTTTAGAAATTTCAATGTTGAACAACCATTTAACTGGACAAAAGATGCATATTCAATACATTTTACATACCCCGATCCTCCGGAATATGCCAATGAGACTGCATTAAGGCATGGTAACGGAATGTTTGCTGATATAGGCAATTTTATACTAGAACAGCCATTTGCGTATGACTAAAGAAATCAGTATGTTTTTTAACGTTAACTTGAGTTCTTTTTTTTACGGATACCTAGAAATGTGCATTTTAAAGTCGAGCAAAACTGAAAATGATGGGAAATAAAAAAAAAATGAAAAAATGGAAAGCAAAAAGAAACACAGAAAGAAGTTAAATCAATAGTAATGTTGACATTGTATATGGTATGCAAACAAAATCAACAAGTGTTGTAGAAAACACGGATTCTTTTAAATTTTTACATATCTTTCTGTTTGCGTGCCATTTTTGTGATGCATAATGTATGGTTTATTTATTGATATGTCGTTACCCTGAGACACATTAACGTGACGCTGCGGCTGCCATCTAGTATACTAATTTGCAGATTACATCACTTTAAAAATGAATCGAAGCTAGTGGTATTCTCAATTACTGAGAATAAAGTGATAAGGACACGCGATGTATATGTCCATTGTACTGCAGACTAGATTTATCAGATTGAACTATGTCACAGAACAATGTAGAGTGATAGGAATTCAAGGGCTTTTGAAAAAATATGTGATAAAATGAACTAAATATGACTGCAACATTTTTTTCTTTTAAGAGTATCAATATGAAAATCAGGAGATGTGATATATGATTTTCATTGTTCATATGATGAAAATATAAGCAGTGACACCTTACAGCCTTTATATTAACAACGAGAAAACCCCATACCGTATATAGTCATCTATAAAACGCCCCGACATGAAAAATGTGAAACAATTCAAACGAGAAAATTTACTTCCTAATTCAAAACAATACAATGTTTTACTTATTTTTGTGTTTTAGATGTTTGAATAAACTAACTATTTCCATTTCTAGTTTCACCTCTCATTGAACTTTTCGTACTTTAGAACATTTACGTACCTTAATATCACAAAGGAAATTCTAATCTTTGGAAATTTCACAACAATTGTACGGTATCTGAGTAAATAATAGAGCATCAAAGTATATATTAAGACGCGTACTAGTTCATTTTGTCTGGAATGTAAACATCGATTTGGATTGTCTGCAGAAGCAAACTAATGTACTCCTTTAATTATGTTTGCCTCCTCTAGAAATTACAGTGGTACTGAGTTTGTATTACGCCTTAATTATTATGTTAAAATGTGTTTCTGTTTCACCAACATATTGCAGCTTGCAAGTTCTAAAAGTAAGAACTTAGATACTATACTCTATTTTACAAGTACATGTATAGCATATATATATATATATATATATATATATATTATCGCTTCTTTGCTACTGTGCTGACGAAAGCATTATCGATGTTAGATACAAACGGTTCTTTCGCACGATTTACACGAAACCTCGATTTACGAAGTTTCTTGTTTCTCACTTAAGATTTGACTAGAATATCTTTGAGATGGTTTGGTCTTTTGAAAACCTTAACGGTATGGGATTGGAAAATCTCTTTTAAGGAAGGGCAATTTCAATAACACGCCAATTTATTTTAAACATATTTCATTGTTCAAAATGACAAATGCATGTGGACAACTGATGTCAGATCTGTCTTTTTCTTGAGCAGTTTGGGGTTTTCCGGAGGCTTCTGTGATTTTTCCGTTTCTATATCCTCTTAATGACTTAGGTTTTTTTTTCTGATTTGTTCCAAACGGTAGTTGAGTTTGGCGTCCGGGTAGCAAACTCGGTTAAGTTTGGTGGCTTGATTGTAAAGAATGCTTTGAGAGCACTGTAGTATTTTGGATCACAAATCTTCAGAGAGAAAAACTGCATGGTCTTGGTCCGAGTACACAGTTATCGTCCTTTGATTTTCGTTGTCCACGAATATAGTCCCTAGTGTGGACAGTGTGTTACTTGCCAATTTTTTTTATACCCCTTCCAAATTTATTTCTCCATGTTTTATGACTCAATTAGCAAGTAGGGGGATGAAATGACACTGTAAAAAAATTTGGGTCATAAATTTCAAAGTAAAGTAGTGATTTGGTCCAGCTGAAAAATGTTAAAAATTAGCACTTCGGAAGCTGTCAAAAGATTTGAAGACCCCCTTAACATGAAATTGTCCATATTTTGAGTTAGAGCCGATGAAGTTTTCTATAATTTTGATATAATTTGTCCCAAAAGTAGTACAACACACTGTAAAAATATTATTGAGAAAGCGCAGGTGGGATTTTTTTAATTTTCATTTATTGTCTAAAAGAAATGCACTACGAAATAACTGTGTACTCGGACCTAAGAGGTGAAATCAGGAAATATAGAATCTGTACTTTGGCAACTTCCCTGAATGATTTGATGGTGTCAATTTGTCAAATAGCATAAAACTAAAGAATTTAAACTTTTATTTGATAGAATTTCTGCAAAAATTACCAATTTGGGCATTTTATGGTCAAAATAAGCATTTCATAGCTTTTTCAATTTTGATGCATAAGTGGCATTCTGACTTTCTATCTGACAGGATTTTATGTGTCAATATTTGTGTTTCTATGCTTTAATCCAGTTGTTTTACTCATTTGTGAACTCTGAATCTACAGAAAAGAAGATTATCTCAGACAATATGTGCAAAATGTGTTGTATATATGACCCTCGTCTAACGCCCTGTTTGGATCAAGTTAAATGTAAGGAGCTTGGAACATAAAAGTTGAAGTCCATAATAAAGACCTCACTAAATTTGTATAAAAAGCACTTAACAATGTCTTTTGTACCTGTTTCATGTCACATAATATCTTTCTTTTCTTCTGTAGGATAGCAAGTGGTTCAAATATAAGCCTGTTGGGACTAAAATTGCATGCATGTTTTTCACTAAAAAGTGAAAAATCTTTGTATCAGACCATACTGTCTGCAAAAAAAGTTGAATTCAAGAGTCTTTTTGTGCTCAGATTTATTGTATCATGTCACCTGAGTATAGAAATGATAGAAAAGACACAAATTTTTATTTCCTATAGCTTCAATATGCATTTTTAAATGTAAATATGTGCTACGGCCTAAATTGACCCTAAATTATTTTCAGTCTTACTTGGCCTAAGACCCTTTTAAACTAATATGATGTGTTATTTGTAAGTTTTCTTTCCATTTAAAGTACATTAAATACATATGTAAGGATTATCTATAACCAAAAAGCTTTACAAATTTAAAATTGCTGGAAAATATTACATCTTCATGTAAGGCCTCCCTTCATTGAAAAACCTCCATTTTTTGGCACAGGCTCATATAAATTTGACTTTTAAATAATTGTGATAAGTCTGATAAATCAAATGAGTACTCTATTACTTTTAATACATAAAATATTATATATTAAGGCATTTCAAAAGTATTTTTTTGCAATCTTTTAATTTTTTAAGCCCCAAATGTTGATAGTTGAAATATTTCAATTTTAACGTCTAAATTTAACACGCAAAGTAGAATATAGAATTAGTCATATTGTCTATAAAATATATTCTAGTGCCATGAAACTTTGTAAGCAGTCTTATAATTAATTAAGCTATGGTCATACCAAGTTTCATAAAGATTGGTCAATTTTTTCTACCCTATTAGGTCCGAGTACACAGTTATCGTCCTTTGATTTTCGTTGTCCACGAATATAGTCCCTAGTGTGGACAGTGTGTTACTTGCCAATTTTTTTTATACCCCTTCCAAATTTATTTCTCCATGTTTTATGACTCAATTAGCAAGTAGGGGGATGAAATGACACTGTAAAAAAATTTGGGTCATAAATTTCAAAGTAAAGTAGTGATTTGGTCCAGCTGAAAAATGTTAAAAATTAGCACTTCGGAAGCTGTCAAAAGATTTGAAGACCCCCTTAACATGAAATTGTCCATATTTTGAGTTAGAGCCGATGAAGTTTTCTATAATTTTGATATAATTTGTCCCAAAAGTAGTACAACACACTGTAAAAATATTATTGAGAAAGCGCAGGTGGGATTTTTTTAATTTTCATTTATTGTCTAAAAGAAATGCACTACGAAATAACTGTGTACTCGGACCTAAGAGGTGAAATCAGGAAATATAGAATCTGTACTTTGGCAACTTCCCTGAATGATTTGATGGTGTCAATTTGTCAAATAGCATAAAACTAAAGAATTTAAACTTTTATTTGATAGAATTTCTGCAAAAATTACCAATTTGGGCATTTTATGGTCAAAATAAGCATTTCATAGCTTTTTCAATTTTGATGCATAAGTGGCATTCTGACTTTCTATCTGACAGGATTTTATGTGTCAATATTTGTGTTTCTATGCTTTAATCCAGTTGTTTTACTCATTTGTGAACTCTGAATCTACAGAAAAGAAGATTATCTCAGACAATATGTGCAAAATGTGTTGTATATATGACCCTCGTCTAACGCCCTGTTTGGATCAAGTTAAATGTAAGGAGCTTGGAACATAAAAGTTGAAGTCCATAATAAAGACCTCACTAAATTTGTATAAAAAGCACTTAACAATGTCTTTTGTACCTGTTTCATGTCACATAATATCTTTCTTTTCTTCTGTAGGATAGCAAGTGGTTCAAATATAAGCCTGTTGGGACTAAAATTGCATGCAACTGAATCTATTTTAAAAGAGTAAAATCCATTTTATTCCTTTCTATAATCTTTTTCAATGTTTACCATAAATTGAATGCAGATTTCATAAAGAAACACACATATTTTACAATATTCCATGTTTTTATTCTTATAATTGATAAAATTTACATTTAATGTTCGGGAAATTTCCCAAAATATATGAAAGTTTTTAAAAATTTGTGGTAAAGATGTATGTGACAACTTTTCGGGAAATGTCCCAAAATCATTTTCAACATTATTATTTAAAACATATATGTTGGCAAAGAATGTTGACAAACAGATCTGAAACACATTTCGGGAAAAATCCCGACAAAAATAAACTAAGTGGAAAATGTATAACACAGATGTCTTCGAATATTTTGGGATTTATCCCGAAAACAGAACGTATATGCTAGAACTCATGACTTATAATTTCTTTTCACATTTCGGGAAAAATCCCGAAAATATAAATCTATTATCAGGCACACACTTGTTACATAGATTTTTTTTACCCATTTCGGGAAAAATCCCGAAATAAAATCTGCAAGCAAATTTTTAAAATTATATGCTACAGATTTCTTAAACATATTGGGAAAAATCCAGAAAAAACAAAATCTATAAGATATTACAACACAGAATTTTGATACATTTAGAAAGTTTTTATGTAAATTTGTTTCCAACATTTGTTAAAATTTTGATTCATAAAAAATATGTTTCTAACTGAAAAAAATATGTATTTTGTTTATAACCACACTTTTCATTACAGGTCCGAAAAAAGTATTTTCTAAGAAATATTAAGGTTGCTCTCTTCTGCATCTCTTTTGTCATGCTTTAGAAATTTCCTAAATATAATATCAACCAAATTTGTCCCACAAAAAGGGGGGCTTAGGCCTCCTCTAAATCCTCCTCTTATAAGTGGTCGATTTTAAACTGGCCTAAGCAAAAACTTTCCATATAAACTGCAAAAGATTCTAAGTTATAAAACCATGATTTAGGGTTCAGGATAAAAAAATCCCCAAGCACATGTATTGTCCAAAAGCTTATTCAACTGCATATAAAATATCCCTGACCTACTTTTAGTGGTTCTCCTTAAACTGAACTTGACAAAAAAAGTCAATATTCCATTACTGAGAGGCTGGTGAGGAGGGCGGTGCTCTATGGGATTGAGATGTGTTTCCATAACACATTATACCCTGCTTCCACAATCAGATTTCCATATTCAGTAACTTATTTGTAATTACTTAAAAAATCAATGACTTCATAATGAACACTTGAATGTACAAAGTTTCAAGTTTATTTGACCATAACATCATAGTAAACTATTGTACACAAAACCTTAACCTACTGTACTGTTTGTACATCTTGAAAACAAAATGATTGATAAAAACTAGTTTTAACTCATTACTTCAAATGCCAATGAAATTTTAAAATAGGAATAAAAAGAAAAAACTCAAACTCAAAAATATTCAATAATGTAGCCTCATTTCATTTTCCTAATTTGCACAATTTTGTTTTTGTCACAGAAAACATGGAAGAAACTTTATCTTTAATTATATTTTTCTAAATTTCTTTGATGTTCTCCACAACAAAATATAACAAGAGTGCACATGCTGAAATGTCTTGCCTTCTTTACTAATTATTGATGTTATGTTGATAGTCCTAAATATAAAGCTTTACTACCACTATCACATAAACTTAACATTAACCAAGAAAATGAGGTCAAGGTCATATAAACCAAACAAGAAATACATGTACACCTTACAATCATTCAATACACTAAATATAGTTGACCTATTGCTTATAGTTTCTAAGAAATAGACTTAACCAAGAAAACTAAACATTGACCAATGAACCATGAAAACGAGGTCAAGGTCAGATGCACCATGCCAGGCAGACATATACAGCTTACAATTCTTCCATACAACAAATATAGTTGACCTATTGCTTATAGTTTAAGAAAAACAGACCAAAACACAAAAACTTAACACTGAGCAATGAACTGTGAAAATGAGGTCAAGGTCAAATAAAACTTGCGAGACTGACATGTACATCATAAAATATTTCCATACACCAAATATAGTTGACCTTTATTGCATATAGTATTAGAAAAAAAGACCACAACTCAAAAACTTAACTTTGACCCCTGAACCATGAAAATGAAGTCAAGGTCAGATGACACCTGCCAGCTAGACATGTACACCTTACAATCATTCCATACACCAAATATAGTAGACTTATTGCAAACAGTATAAGAAAAACAGACCAAAACAAAAACTTAACTTACCACTGAACCATGAAAATGAGGTCAAGGCCAGATGACACCTGCCAGTTGGACATGTACACCTTACAGTCCTTCTGTACACCAAATATACAAGACCTATTGCTTATAGTATCTATGATATGGACTTGACCACCAAACCTTAACCTTGTTCACTGATCCAAGAAATGAGGTCGAGGTCAAGTGAAAACTGTCTGACAGTCATGAGGACCTTGCAAGGTACGCACATACCAAATATAGTTAACCTATTACTCATAATAAGAGAGAAATTAACATTACAAAAAATCTTAACTTTTTTTTCAAGTAGTCACTGAACCATGAAAATGAGGTCAAGGTCAATGGAAATGTGACACACGGAAACATCGTAACATGAGGCATCTGTATACAAAGTATGAAGCATCCAGGTCTTCCACCTTCTAAAATATAAAGCTTTTAAGAAGTTAGCTAACGATGCCACCGCCGCCGCCGGATCACTATCCCTATGTCGAGCTTTCTGCGACAAAATCGCAGGCTCGACGAAAAAGAAAAATACTGTTCTAAAATAAAATACATGTTCTATATAATATTACAAATACATACAATAAAATATAACTACAAATCATAGTAACATGTGAATAAATCTTCATAACATGTGCAATGCTTGTTATATTCAGATGGAATTATTACATGTTAATGTAAATTGATCTGTTTCTTTACTGATGACTTTTTCTCTTCCTTTCACTCCTGCCTATAAGAGAAAAGTAAAATAACATTTAGTAAAATATAACAAAAACGTGCTATTCCGCTGAACATGCTAAATGTAAATATTAATGGTGAAATCAACAATTTTGATCATGTTGATAGGTTGAGACTATCACATTTGACATTTATAACAAAACTTCTTTTCCCCCTCTGACCATTTTGATTACCTTGTGTGACTTTTCACACAATCAACATGATCATAATGTACATAACTTTTTTGACATTTTTTTATCAATAAAGATAGTTTAGCCAATAATAGTTTTCAAAATTATTTAGTGTAGAGTTGAGTTCTTTTCCCTTTCTCCAATTGAATGTTCCTGGCAACCTGCATTCTTTTATGTTACTTTTTTTCATTTAACAAATACTGATCAAGATTTAAAAGGGGAGCAGTATTGAGTTTTCATGTGGCTTTCCAAAGTCAAGACCGTTCCTGTTACCTAAAGTTGTATCTTAAGGAGGCTTGAGGGTATAAAAATTCAGCAAAAATTTAAACTTTTTTTTTTTCATTACAAATTTTTATTTCTTACACTATTAGTTGTTACTTTATGATATGGTACAAAAATCAACCAAAAAAATCAATTCATTTTGGCCCCAGATGACTTTTGAATTGTTTATATCATTTAAAAAGCTCCAAATTATCTCCCTTTGATGAAAAAATGCAATTAAAATTGAATATCTTTTTTAACACATCGGTGACCTATATTTTTACTATTTTTTTCAAATAAGCTGTACTCAAATAAGCTGTACTAAACTATTCTAAAATTTAAGCAATTTCTGTAATTTAGTTCTTTTTTTATTTCGACATTCCCTTTTTTTCTCCTATTAGTTCAACAGAAAAAAAGTAACTTAACAGAAATGCATGCTTCTTTCGAAGGCAGATTGTGAGGTCAAATGAACGGTGACCCTATACTATTATTTTATTTGTCTATTAAGTATAGGATAAAGTGTTTTTCTAGAAAAAAATAGTGAAATCCTATATTTAAAAACAAATATTGAGATATACCCGCGAGCCCCCTTCAAGCTTTTGTTTCAGGGAATTTGGTGTTGACAGTAGATGTTTGTGTGTTTTTGGTTATTCAATTGACAATTGAGATGTTTATTAAATTCTACAATCACTTGTTGATCATTTCAAGACAGTTGACCTATAAAAATATGATGAAACCTTTTCAACTGATTTTTATAGTTTGTTCTTATGTTGTGCTGTAACACCACTGTCCCAGGTTAGGGGAGGGATGAGCAACCAAAAACTTGTTTAACCTGCCACATTCTTTATGTGCCTGTCCCAAGTCAGGAGCCAGTATTTCCATGGAAGTTGTTGGTTTATGTATGTTATATATTTGATTTTCGCTACTTGTTTTGTTATAATAAATTATATAAATTAGGCCGTTAGTTTTCTCAAATGATTTTGTTCATATTTTTTCTGATCAGGGCCTTTTATAGCGGACTATACAGTATGAGTTTTTCTCATTGTAGAAGGCTGTACAGTTACCTATAACTGCTTATATCCACTTTATTCAAACTTTGGTGGATAGTTGTCTCATTGGCAATCATGCACCTTCTCCTTATTTTTATATAAATATAGGTCAAAACTGCATAGATCTATGCTGTTTAGTTATTTTTTGTGTTGTTGAGTTGCGTTTCATCTGTAATAAACAGGTAAAAATTCTTGAAACAATATGTTTTATCTATGTGAACATCATGGATTATTTATTCCTTTCAAAATTCTGTGAATAAATAAATGGGGAATGCGTCCATGGGACACAGATTATGCCCCCGCTTGCATATAACATTTTAAAGGGTCATAAATCAAGAATGGTAAAAGTGACACACAGTACCCAAATGAGTACTTGATCTGAGTTTTGTGGTTATAAGCATTGTGTATAAGTTTCAGAACATTTGGTTAAGCAAACTTAAGTTTATAGTGAACTAAAATGAATAAACAGCTGTGCCATGAGCACATGATACCTCCGTCGCTTTTTCAAAGAATAAGGTCTTCAACACAGCGAGAAAATCACGCACTATAAGTGTTTCTTGTTTCTCTTTTTTTATATAGATTAGACCGTTGGTTTTCCCATTTGACAGCTGGTTTCACACTAATCATTTTTAGGGTCCTTAAATTAATAATAGCTTACTGTTCGGTGTGATCCAAGGCTCTGTGTTGAAGACTGTACTTTGACCTATAATGGTTTTTCTTTTACAAATTGTGACTTGGATGGAGAGTAGTCTCATTGGAACTCATACCACATCTTCTTATATCTATGTACAAACATACAAGGATAAAACTTAATGCCCTCCTCCGCTACGACGGGGCATAACAAAATGCATATACATATAAAGCAGCAGGACTCTTATTAAGACTGAATATGACAGTACCTTATTCTTTATTCTTTCATCTTATCCCCTGCATGATTCCTGACATGAATTTTGGTTCTTTATTTCTTTTACGTCCAGGCAATTTTGGTATGAAAGCACAATATTTCAAGCTAAGTGTACCCATGATTTGTCCTGGGTGTATTTTGATAAAAATAATAAATGTTGACTGCATCTTTTGGTGTCTCTCTTGTAAAACAATAATGCAAAGTCTATGTGTGTTGTTTAAAATTACAAATCATAGGAATTAACCAGTAACATATATTGTATTATAATTTCACTTCTGAAACAATCCTGACCGGTGACTGTACAGTTTCAGCATCCTTTCCTTTGTTCTTAATTTTTCTGATATTTAGCTGAAAGCAGGATCAATATCTTCATGTGTGTGGCAAACAAGTACTAACGACCAGAGAACCTGAAAAAAAATTATCTGTTGAGTTCTCGACTAGTATCATTTATTTATCCATTAAAGAGATAGAGCTTTGTTAGAATTTTGAAAGGTGGAAGCAGTATAATTACTTTAATACACTAAAATATGTAATAAATAAAACAAGAATGTGTCCATGGGACACGGATGTCCCTGCTTGTAAATATATCTCTAATTTATCCTTTTTTTCTATTAATAAAGTAACATAATATGAGAATGATGAAAGTGACTTGATCAGTGTTTGATGTTAATAAGCATTGGAACAAGGAATTATTTGAATCTGGAATTATTTTGAATTCTGGAAAATTGAAACGAAATTTATGATGAAAACTAACCCAACTAAATAGGGTTAGCCATGCGCGCATGGCTAAGGGGGGTTAGTTAGTTCATACTGAAAGAACAGTGAAAGTAAAATTACCCTTGCATGGCTATCCCTATTTAGTTGGGTATGTTTTCATCATACATTTCTTATCAATTTTCCAGAATTCAAAATTATTCCAGATTCAGATAATTCCTTGTTTTGTGTATAAGTTTCATAACACTTGGTTGAGGCAATGAAAAGCTAAAGTGCAATTAGGGATTTGAACTAGTTTTCAATTACTTCAAGTTCCCTGATATTGATTCATGTTTTTTTTTATTGCAGTACGTACAGTAATAATCTGATGGTTTAAGAGAGCACAATACCACGACAACAACATGTTTATCAAAATATCATTTTCATTTTGTTCTTTCTTAATATTCATCAGACACATTTTTTTAACTAGATACCCCAATGATGATTGACTGTGGCCAAGTTTGGTTAAATTTGGCCCAGTAGTTTCAGAGGAGAAGATTTTTGTAAAAGTTAATGGTCGACGACGGCCCTTTGGGCCAGGTGAGCTAAACAAGAGGCTCTAAAGAGCCTGTGTCGCTCACCTTGGTTTATGTGCATATCAAACAAAGGACACTCTCTAACATTGTAGACGAGAATATACTTCATGACAAAAATCTCTATTTTGTTGATCTTTTATTACAGGTCTTTTATAATTAGTCTGTTTAGTTTCTCTCTTTATTCTTTAGTTCTTGCTCAAAACACAAAAGAGGGTAAACAAAAATCCTCACTGAAGGGCAATCACTCCTATTAAGCATGTTAAGAGTGACAGCCTACTAACTATATCGGCAGAATTTGACTTTTAATAGATCTTGCCATGCCTTTTCTTACATTACTCAAGATCTGTTAAAGTGACGCTATCCAAATTTGTACTTGATCTGCGTTTTGTGGTAATATGCATTGTGCATAAGTTTCATAACATTTGGTTGAGGCAAACTAAAGTGAGAAAGAAAATGAAAAATTCAGCAATATTTCCATTTGTAGAGGAGGATAACTCTAGAATGGTAAAAGTGACGCTACCCAAATTCAAACTTGATCTGAGTTTTGTGGTAATAAGCATTGTGTATAAGTTTCATAACATTTGGTTGAGGCAAACTAAAGTGAGAAAGAAAATGAAAAATTCAGCAATATTTCCATTTGTAGAGGAGGATAACTCTAGAATGGTAAAAGTGACGCTACCCAAATTCAAACTTGATCTGAGTTTTGTGGTAATAAGCATTGTGTATAGGTTTCATAACATTTGGTTGAGGCAAACTAAAGTGAGAAAGGAAATGAAAAATTCAGCAATATTTCCATTTGTAGAGGGGGATAACTCTAGAACGGTAAAAGTGACGCTACCCAAATTCAAACTTGATCTGAGTTTTGTGGTAATAAGCAGTGTGTATAGGTTTCATAACATTTGGTTGAGGCAAACTAAAGTGAGAAAGGAAATGAAAAATTCAGCAATATTTCCATTTGTAGAGGGGGATAACTCTAGAACGGTAAAAGTGACGCTACCCAAATTCAAACTTGATCAAAGTTTTGTGGTAATAAGCATTGTGTATAGGTTTCATAACATTTGGTTGAGGCAAACTAAAGTTAGAGAATGGAAACAAAAAATTCAGCAATGTTTCCATTTGTAAAGGGGCATAACTCTAGAACGGTAAAAGTGACACTACCCAAATTTATACTTGGTCTGTGTTTTAAGGTAATAAGCATTGTGTATAAGTTTCATAACATTTGGTATAGGCAAACTAAAGTTAGAGAACAGAAACCAATTATCGGACCTACGGGACAGACGGACAAGGGTAAAACTTAATGCCCCCTCCGCTACAGCGAGGCATAAAAAATGTTTCTAAATTTCATAGTTTTCCTGATAATAGGCATAAATAAAACAAGAGGATCTGAAGAGCCTGAATCGCTCACCTGTATTTCAGAGGAGAAGATTTTCAAATGTTAGCAAACTTGATGAACAAATTGTGTAAAATTGTCTTTAAAGGGCAATAACTCCTTAAGGGGTCAATTGACAATTTTGGTCATATTAACTTTTTTGTAGATCTTATACTTTGCTGAACATTATTGCTGCTTACAGTTTATATATATCTATAATAATATTCAAAATAATAACAAAAAAACTGCAAAATTTTGTTAAAACTACCAATTCGGTGGCAGCAACCCAACAATGGGTTGTTCGAATCTGATAATTTCAGGGCCGATAGATCTTGACCAATTAAACAATTTTACCCCATGTCACATTTGCTCTAAAAGATTTAGTTTTTGAGATATAAGCCAAAAACTGCATTTGACCCTTATGTTCTATTTTTAGCCATGGCGGCCATGTTTGTCAATGGATACAAGCTTCGGATACAATTTATAAACAAGATACCCTAAGGAACATTTAGTTAAAGTTTGAAGGTAATTGGCCCAGTAGTTTCAGAGGAGAAGATCTTTAAATGTTAGCAAACTTGATGAACAAATTGTGTAAAATTGTCTTTAAAGGGCAATAACTCCGTAAGGGTTCAATTGACACTTATGGTCATATTAACTTTTTTGTAGATCTTACTTTGCTGAACATTATTGCTGCTTACAGTTTATATATATCTATAATAATATTCAAAATAATAACAAAAAAACTGCAAAATTTTGTTAAAACTACAAATTCGGTGGCAGCAACCCAACAATGGGTTGTTTGATTCATCTGATAATTTCAGGGCCGATAGATCTTGACCAATTAAACAATTTTACCCCATGTCACATTTGCTCTAAAAGATTTAGTTTTTGAGATATAAGCCAATAAAATGCTCCGCAGGGCGCAGCTTGATACGACCGCAGAGGTCGAACCCTGAACAGTTGGGGCAAGTATGGACACAACATTCAAGCTTGATACAGCTTTGCATTTGGATTGTGATTAAATATTTGACACAGCATAGGTTTCTGACAAAGAATGAATGTGGTCTAAGAACTTAAAAATTTTAAATTGGACATTCACCTATTATGGTCCAATATCCAAAATCTAAAGACATGGTTAGATTCAGCATATCAAAGAACCCCAAGAATTCAATTTTTGATGAAATCAAACAAAGTTTAATTTTGGACCCTTTTGACCTCAATGTGGACAAAGTTGATAACGGGGCCCAAAAATCAAAAATCTAAATACATGGTTAGATTCAGCATATCAAAGAACCCCATATATTCAATTTTTGTTGAAATCAAACAAAAAAAAAGTTTAATTTTGGACCCCGATTTGGACCAACTTGAAAACTGGGCCCATAATCAAAAATCTAAATACATGTTTAGATTCAGCATATCAAAGAACCCTAAGAATTCAATTTTTGTTAAAATCAAACTAAGTTTAATTTTGGACCCTTTGGACCTTAATGTAGACCAATTTGAAAACGGAACCAAAAATTAAGAATCTAAATACACGGTTAGATTTGGCATATCAAAGAACCCTAATAATTCAATTTTTGATGAAATCAAACAAAGTTTAATTTTGGACCCTTTGGACCTCAATGTGGACCCATTTAAAAACGGGGCCCAAAATCCAAAAACTAAATACACGGTTAGATTCAGCATATTAAAGAACCCCAAGAATTCAAGAATAAAACCCCATTGAAATTGGTCAAGAAATAAGCAATTTATACGAAGTATCTTCTTTTGCACAATACTGTGCAATTAAATATTTCTTGCTATTGCGCAATACTGTACAATTGACAATTTCTTGCTATTGTGCAATATTGTGCTATTGGATATTTCTTGCTATTGCGCAATACTGTGCAATTGAAGATTTCTTGCTATTGCGCAATACTGTGCAACTGAAGATTTCTTGCTATTGTGCAATACTGTGCAATTGAAAATTTCTTGCTATTGCACAATACTTATTATATAATAATTTACACATCCTGTTTGGTGTGTATCTCCTACCATATCATTATTATTTGCTTTTAAATATAAATCAGAAATAACCAACTTAAAATGGAAAATTTTAAAAGAAAAAAAAAGGAAAAAAAGAAAAAAAAGGAAAAAAAAAAAAAATCCCCTCCCCCCAAATTTTTTGAACCCCCTTATGATTCATCACCCCCAAACTCAATCCCAACCTTCCCTTTGTGGTATGGTACCTTGCAGTACAATTTCAGAGAGATCCATACACTTGAACACAAGTTATTGTCTGGAAACTAGAAAAATGTGTTTTTTGGCCCCTTTTGGGCCCCAAATTCCTAAACGTTTAGGGCAATTACCCCCAAACTCAAACCCAGCTTTCCCTTTGTGATATGGAACCTTGTAGTACAATTTCAGAAAGATCCATACACTTACACACAAGTAATTGTCCTGAAACTAGAAAAAATGCTTGTTTTTTTCCCCTTTTTGGCCCCTAATTCCTAAAATATTGAGGCAATTACCCCCATCATTAATCCCAGCCTTCCCTTTGTGGTATGGTACCTTGCAGTACAATTTCAGAGAGATCCATACACTTGAACACAAGTTATTGTCTGGAAACTAGAAAAATGCTTATTTTTGGCCCCTTTTTGGCCCCCAATTCCTTAACATTTCGGCAATTACCCCCAAACTCAATTCCAGCTTTCCCTTTGTGATATGGAACCTTGTAGTACAATTTCAGAAAGATCCATACACTTACACACAAGTAATTGTCATGAAACTAGAAAAATGCTTGTTTTTTGCCCCTTTTTTGGCCCCTAATTCCTATAATTTTGAGACGATTACCCCCAAAATCAATCCCAGCATTCCTTTTGTGATATGGAACCTTGTGGTACAATGTCAGAGAGATCCATACACTAACACACAAGTTATGTCTGGAAGTTACAAAAATGCTTATTTTTGGCCCCTTTTTGGCCCCTAATTCCTCTACTGTTGGTACCATAACCCCCAAAATCAATCCCAACCTTTCTTTTGTGGTATTGAACCTTGTGGTAAAATTTCATAGAGATCCATTCACTTAAACTAAAGTTAGAGTGCGAAAACCAATGTGTCTTCGGACGACGCCGGACAACGCCAGACGACAACGACGCCAACGTCATACCAATATACGACCACAAAAATTTTTTTGCGGTTGTATAAAAACTGCATTTGACCCTTATGTTCTATTTTTAGCCATGGCGGTCATGTTTGTCAATGGATACAAACTTCGGATACAATTTATAAACAAGATACCCTAAGGAACATTTAGTTAAAGTTTGAAGGCATTTAGCCCAGTAGTTTCAGAGGAGAAGATTTTTGAAATAGTTTAAAACGACAGACGACGACGACAGACGACGGACGCCAAGTGATGGCATAAGCTCACATGGGGCCCTTCGGGCCCAGGTGAGCTAAAAAAGATGTACAACAATTTATAAACTAGATACCCTAAGGAACATTTATTTAAAGTTTGAAGGTATTTGGCCCAGTAGTTTCAGAGGAGAAGATTTTTGAAATAGTTTACGACGACTGACGACGACGACAGACGACGGACGCCAAGTGATGGCATAAGGGCCCCGGTGAGCTAAAAAAGATGTACAACAGGTGTTTAGAAATAAAGAAGATAATGCACTCCAAAGAAAATTTTTTATTTATATTAGAGCTGCCATTAGAAAAAACATATGATAGATTTTATAGCAATATGGAAATTAAAATATTAATGTACAATGTAATGTATGTGCCTGTTCCAAGACATGAGCCTGTAATTCAGTGGTTGTCGTTTGTTGATGTGTTACATATTTGTTTTACGTTCATTTTTTGTACATGTACATAAATTAGGCCTTAATTTTTCTTGTTTTACATTTGTCATTTCGGGGCTTTTTATAGCTATGTGGTATTGGCTTTGCTCATTGTTGAAGGCCGTACGGTGACCTATAGTTGTTAATTTCTGTGTCATTTGGTCTCTTGTGGAGAGTTGTCTCATTGGTAATCATACCACATCATTTATAAGCATAAATCAAGTAAAGTTAAAGTACAACATTTAAAAGTGTTGATGTTAATAACATTTCTGATATATCCAATTTTCTTGAGGAGAATATCTAAAATATATGAATTTATGAGGGCTTGGAACCCCGCTAACATGTTTAACCCTGCCACATTCTGTGCCTGTCCCAAGTTAGGAACCTGGACAATCAGTGGTTGTCGTTTGTTGCTGTGTTACATATTTGTTTATCGTTAATGTTTTTGTATTTTTATAAGGCCTTTAGTATTGAATTGTTTTACATTTGTAATTTTGGGGCCTTTTATATATGACTATGCAGTATGAGCTTTGCTCATTGTTGAAGGCTGTACTGTGACCTATAGCTGACTGACAGACGGAGGGACAGGGGTAAAACAATATGCCCGCCAACTTTTAGTTGCGGGGACATACAGAGTTATACACTTTGTTTAAAATACTATTGAAAGATCATAATTTAAATTATTCATGTTTACAGAAGTCTTTTGTTAATGTTTATATTTGTATTGTGTTGTGTTGTTTTGTTTCTGTATCACATATAAGTCTAAAAGTTTTTGACCACCAAAATTTGCAAAGAACAATTTCAGTATTTCCCTCAAGACCACCAGGAGAAAAAAGATTTCAAGAACTCTGTAATGGAGAGAAAGAATGGATAGGGTTAAAGGATAGAGAATATTGGACAAACATGTGCAGAATAAAGGGGAAACAAATAAAGAATAGAGAATATTAGTCAAACATGTGCAGAATAAAGGGGCAAACAAATAAAGAATAGAGAATATTGGACAAACATGTGCAGAATAAAGGGGCAAACAAATAAAGAATAGAGAATATTGGAAAAATAATACAGAATATTGAATAATAGGGCACAAAAATACAGTAAATTATTAAGACATGATAGAGATAATATAAATGGGCAAAATAAATAATGAATAGAGAGAAAAATGGTCTAATATTTAAAGAATAAAGACAATAAGGACCCCCTCATCCAAACCCTCATTTAGCAGAACAGTAAAAATGATAATTATCTACTTTCATGTGGACATTTTCAAACAATTTCATACATTCCCATATCTTTAACTATTTGATCATTACTTACATCTGTCCATTATTATGTTGTCTTTTAGATCACATTGCATTTGAAGCTGATGTTCAATACTTGCACAGTTAATTGTACACCTAGAAAAAAAATCTGCAAAAATAAGATAAAACAGTCTTGTGTAACTGTCATACTAGTTTAGATACAGAATCGTGTGACTTTCTAACAGAAAATTTACATCACATCAATGAGAAATTGCAAAAAGTAAATAAAATTATTCATTTGTCGCTTTCGTTGTTGAGGTTACATGAGTGCATTAGCTGCCTTATTTTTACATGTTCACAAATCAGTATTCGGGAGAGCAGTAAATATATAGAGGCTCTGCACCCTCCCCCTGAAATTTTGTGCTCTGAAGGGAACCAGGTGCTTTTTCTAAGTAAGGAAAGAGTTTAAAAATTATCCATCATGTCCTCACATCTAATTATTAAAAGATGAATTAATTGATCATTGAAATGTGTATCAGAGTCAGAACTTCTCAATGTTCATTTTTTGGGGGAATATTTATTACCCTAATTTAATGTTTTTATTGTCTTTAATTAAGTGACTGACACAGTACTGAGGATAACATTTTCATATCTCTTCATTTATATCTACAAATTCTAATGATGTTTCACATCCTGGGGGATATAAACCCATGAAATTGAAATTTTTCACACATAATTGACTAATAGTAGTAATTGGGAATGTAAACATGTAATAATTTTTTTCCCAGTAGGCAGTTTAACCAAAATTAAGATACAGACAAGACATAATAAATCTATTATACTATATACACAGCATGCACAGGACATGTGCTCCTATCATAATGATGAACTGAGTCTATACTGTCCCTTTAACAAATAATGCAAAGTTAAAAATTTTTGTTATTTAGATTCTGTGAATTTTTTTAATTTTAAACATTCTTAGTTTGTTCGAAATAGATATACGTTGTATACTTAATCATCTGTAGAATTTTTTTATTAATGAAAAAAAAAGAATTAGCTTAACTGATTAATCTATAATAAAGATTATAGTCGATCCAGGTAATTTCGTGCAGGCAGTTGGTCCGAGAACACAGTTTTTTTGTAGTGCATTTCTTTTAGACAATAAGTGGAAATAAAAAAAATCCAAACTGAGCTTTCTCAATAATATTTTTACAGTGTGTTGTACTACTTAACTTTTGGGACAAATTATATAAAATTATAGAAAAACTTCATCAGCTCTAACTCAAAATATGGACAGTTTTATGTTAAGGGGGTCTTGAAATCTTGACAGCTTCCAAAATTAATGCTAATTTTTAACCTTTTTCAGCTGGAACAAATCACTATTTTACTTTAAAATTCATAATTCAAATTTTTTAACAGTGTAATTTTATCCCCCAACTTGCTATTTGAGACATAAAACATGAAGAAATAAATTTGGAAGGGGGATAAAAAAAAATTGGCAAGTAACACCCTGTCCACACTAGTTAGGGACTATATTCGTGGACAATGAAAATCAAAGGACGATAACTGTGTGCCCAGACCAGGTAATTACTGTACATTTTGCTTGTTTATTAAACAGGGAACCAAATGACTTTCATTTAGGACCAAAAGTGTACGGAATTACCCTGACTGACTCTAATGTAAGATCAACCTCCTCTCCAAGGTAAGATATGTACATGCATTCATAAACTGGGGCTCCAGTAGGAGATACACCCTAATGTCACAAGGCTTTTACCCTAATGATCGAAGCGTGTCTAGAAATTGCTTCAGATTACTTTTAAGCAAATAGAACAGTTTTGAACATTTAAAAGATCCCAAGTACATGTAAATATTAATGACTCACATTTTAGATGACCAACAATGTATTAAGAAATTTTCAAAGAACATATATATAGGATTTAATATTGTCTGCCATGAAATTATGTCCACCAGACACTATTTCACAGTAAATTGTGTCCACGGACTTAATGTTATTATGAAATATTGTCCAAACAATGTTTGCCTATAGTATACAATTGTGTCCAGATGTGAAAAATTGTCCTTCAATGAAGGGACAATATTTCATATGAAAAAAGTGTCCTTCATAGAAAGGACAGTATGTCAAGAGAAAAAGTGCCCACTATCAATACCTACTATGTTTACATAGCTTCAATTCTTTATCTAAATTAAAGTTTAAAAATTAGAATATAGGTTTTGTCTCTATTAAAACATGGCATGTAAACTGGAGTAGTGAATTCATACTAAATGTGACCATCACCATGTGTAGTTAAACATGAATTATACAATAAAACATGTACTAATACACACAAAAACAGAAATATATTAAATAGTACTTAAAAATATGAACAATGTTGATAAAAATACATGTATTTTATTTCAATTTACATAAACTGTTATCACAGAGATATGTCTTGCCTTTTTGTAATTTTGATAAAGCAATATTGTTGAAATTAAAATAGCAATACTTTAACATGTAAGTTATGTAAAATATTCAAAGTCAATGAACCATGACTGAAGGTACATGGCTGAACAATCTCCATGGAAATGAGATGTGCTAATGTTAAATTATACAAAAGCTTCTTTTTATGCATACCAAATATAATTGACTTACCTAAGTCATTCCCTTAAAAAAAACCTAAACACAAACATTAACTTGGTAAACTATGTAAAAGTTTTAAAGTCAATGAACCATGATGAGGGTGTGGGGCTTTATAATCTCCATGGAAACAAGACTTGCAAATTTATGCCAATAAATTTGCATACCAAATATCATTGACTTAACATTAGCAGTTCATCTTAAACTGATCTAATCAGTATCACAAACTAATACATATAAACTAAGCAAATGTTTCAAAGTCAATAGACCATGACTGAGGGGAAGGGGCCAAATAATCTCCATGGAAATGAGATATGCCATTATGCTAATACAACTGCATACCAAATATCATTGACCTACAAATGTACCACTAGTGGTTCCCCATAAACTGACTCAGACCTAATCACAAACTAATACATGTATAAAACTAAGCAAAATTTTCAAGGTCAATAGACCATGACTCAGGGGGCAGGGCCAAATAATCTCTATGGAAATGAGATATGCCAATGCTTATACAACTGCATACCAAATATCATTGACCTACCACTTGTGTTTCACCATAAACTAGACCTAATCTCAAACTAATACATTGTTGACGCCGCTGCTGCCGTCGGCAAACCTATAATGTCTCGCTTTTTTACTCTGTCAAGGCGAGCTAAAAATCATGTAATTTTCAAGAATTTTCTCATAAATACTGTTCTTTCTTCATTTGGTATTCTTGTACTTTATATAGGGGTTGTGACAGTTGATGCTGGTGGATACTTTTTGTTGACATCTTTATAGCTAAGATAATTGAATATGCTTTGGAATTTAACACCTTCCATTTGGTGTTTTTATCAAATTATAACAGGCTCTTGATTGGTTTGTTTTAGTAATAGAACATTTAATATAGCCAAAATATGTGAGTGACTTTTTTATGATCTCCCTGTAAAGGACACCTTTTACTGTGAAAAGGTCCTCTTATTGAAAATCAACCTTGCAGGACAGAATTTAATAGTACTTTTATCATGAAATAATGAATTGAAGGACACTTTTTCACAGCATCGGACAAATTAAAATATTTACATTTTCTGTGAAAAAGTGTCAAGGTGGTTGATAGTAAAAAAATTCGTAAGGGTTCCGCGGAACCCAGTGTCTCGCCTACTTTTGCTGTTAATCGCAGGCTCAACAAAAATGAGGAAAAAAATTAATAAAAATATTCCTCTCTATACTATCTTTTGATTGTAAGTAGCTTCTGTCCAAGTTTGGTAAAAATCCAGGATAGTTTATGAATCTAATAAATGTTTTAAAAACTTAAAGTGCAGACTGTATGTAATGTTAACTGGAAGAAAAACTAAGTCCATTTATAAGTAAAATACGGAAAAAATGGAATTTTTTTTTTACTTTTTTACAAAATTTACTTCTGGATACTATCTTTTGATCATAAACAAGCTTCTTTCCAAGTTTGGTAGAAATCCAGGATAGTTTAAGAAAGTTATTAAAATTTCAAAAACTTTAACCACAGAGTGAATGTAATGTTTCATGGCAGAAAAACTAAGTCCGTTTATAAGTAAAATACGGAAAAAATGGAATTTTTTTTTTACAAAATTTACTTCTGGATACTATCTTTTGATCATAAACAAGCTTCTTTCCAAGTTTGATAGAAATCCAGGATAGTTTAAGAACGTTATTAAAATTTCAAAAACTTTAACCACAGAGTGAATGCAATGTTTCATGGCAGAAAAACTAAGTCCATTTATAAGTAAAATACGGAAAAAATGGAATTTTATTTTTACTAAATTTACTTTTGAATATTATCTTATGATCATAAACAAGCTTCTGTCCAAGTCTGGTAGAAATCCAGGATAGTTTAAGAAAGTTATTAAAATTTCAAAAACTTTAACCACAGAGTGAATATTTGTGGACGACGCCGCCGCCGACGGAATGTAGGATCGCTATGTCTCGCTTTTTCGACAAAAGTCGAAGGCTCGACAAAAAGGTATTGTTACTTAAATGACTAGTAATGGATTGTTGAGACTTGTTATATGTCAAAACATTTTAGAAAATTGTAATTATGGAGAATAATAAAGACTTTTTTACAGTGGGCCCCAAATCCCCAAATACCTGTGTCAGATTTAGGTGAATAGAAAATAGGGATTGTATGCAAGTAAAGCCTAGATTTTTGTAAAAACAAAACAAAAACAAAGACTTTTATCTGTTATAGTTTGATCTATTACAGATTTTCATTGTAAAATTTAACTCACTTACAAGTATTATGTCCATGCCAGCATTTATTGTTTACAAAGAGTCCTACACAACCTTAAATCAAATACAATCCAAAGTCAAACACACCCAAAGCCAAAGGCAAAGGTGTACTTGAATAGGTCTATATTTGGTAGTCTTGATTTAATGAATAACTTTATTTCTGAATTTTAAATTGGTATTATTAAACTGTGTAAGAGAAATTATTGCTCTATCTAATAAGCATTGACCAGTTGACATTATTGTGGTCAAGCAGATACCAAAAAATATTCGGAATCCAGATTTTCCCCATACTTGTCAGGTAACCAGAGGATTTCCAAACCGAAGTGGTTCGTCTAAAAAAGGTGGAATTTTAATACAGAATAGGTGACGGGTAACAGTTCTGTGGATGGAACAAACATCCTCACCTTCAAACTGGTAAAGTTCAACTTCTACAAGAGTCCTGAGTTGCAGTGCGATAGAAGAACGTCTGTTATCCAAATGCAATCAGGGAACCAGTTCACGTAAGACAAACTTGTTGTGACCTTGAACATGAAGATGCAGAGATGCTGAATGAAAACTTGTCAGTACGACAGTAGCCTGTTGTTGAAATGATTTCAATTTATATATATGGTAAACATTTAGTTAAAACAAGTGTGAGAGCAATTTACGTTTAAAGGGGGACTGGATTTTTTGTTTTGAATCTTTGTTTCTTTTCTTTTTTTTTCTTTTTTTTTGGGGGGGGGGGGGGGGGGGGGGGGGAGGGGGGAGGTGAAAGGTATAGATAACTAAGGGACCTACCATTTGGTTTTCATGGGGGGCTAGGATGAAAAATTTTGTCCTTCATTCTATTAGTTGTTATGTATTTTTCACTCTATTCGGTCCTGCCTTTTTTGTTTTGAAATTGAGAATGGAAATGGAGAATGTGTCAAAAAGACAGCAACCCTACCAAAGAGCAGAAACCAGCAGAAGGCCACCAATGGGTCTTCAACATAGCAAGAAAATCCCGCACCAGGAGGCTTGCTTCAGCTAGCCCAAAAACAATAATGTGTACTAGTTCATTAGTTTATCCTGACTTTTTTTTACATACATGTAAATAGTCATCCTGCCTTTTTTTCGGCAAAGTGTCTCATCCCACCTTTTGATTACTCAAAACTCCTGTCCTGTTTTTTTTTCGAATTTCATCCTGATTATTTTATATTATAGTCTAGTTGCATAATCAATAATATTTATTGTTCGAACAGAGTATGTTTAAGTTTATTGAAAAATTCGCCCAATATTTGTAAAATGTATTTGCTGCAAACAAATATAAATTATTTTTTATTTGCATAGTAGAATACTGGAATACATTGTACTTACATGACTTATCTTATTGATATTTGTTAACAATTTTATTAATTCTAATCAGTCAATTTGATAACAATATGAATTTATATCTTTTTCAAGTTTTAAAATTGGTACATCATTTTTTGTTACTCATTCCAAGCTGACTATATAGCTAGTTTATCAAAAAAAATGTTGTTTTTATTATAAATCCATTACAACAATCAGTGAGAATTATCATTTTTAACAATTAATGCTCTAAAACAAATTTTAAGCCTACAACTTTTAAATATTTCCATGTGTTTTCATAAATTTCCAGAATTTATACCATATGAATAAGTTTATTAAAATTTAATACCCATTAAACAATATGTTTTAATAAAAGTACTAGGGAGAACGGACCTAGGGCGAACAGACTCTGTGGGTGAATGAACTCTGGGTTAACAGACCTAGGGGAAACATGTAATCAGGGCAGAGGGATTTTGTTAATGCGATTAAATATTCTTACATGTACAGGCTATACATCAAAGAATATAATATAATAAAACCTCTTTATCCAAATCTTCATATTGTATATATGTTCCAGACCATATGAGTATTTGGACCGTACACATATACTCGTGCAGTCGGACCATATGTGTACGGTCAGACCATTTGAGTATACTCATACAGTCTAGGACTAACTGGCCCCTATATGTATTTGTACCATAGGGGTTAATTTTAGACAAATATTTATCAAAATTTTTATTGAATATATACATACAAATTATTATAATTACAATTAGATGAATAAAGTAAAATATATCATCATATCATCAACCCTAATAATCTGGAAACAACTGGTATTATTAGAGTAACAAAGCTACTTTATTCATTCTTTGCACTCGTTTTCGACGCGTTTTTATTATATTTTCTCATTGTTTTTTCAAGGGATTTTTTTTTATAGTTTTTGTCCAGTATCTGTGACGGTTTTTGTAGAAAAGTTCCTAAATATACTAAAATATTTTCTCCCAACATTATGTTTATTCCAATAACTTTAATTTCAGTGAGCATAATTAAATCTCCTGTATTAACTGACATGCTAAATATACAGGAGCTTAACAGAATAAAGCTGTGATTTATAATGATACTGTTCCACAACATTTTAGGGTCAGAGAAATTTAATGCTTGATTGGGAGCAATTATTTGTGGTCACTTAAACTGAAGAAATTTATTGCTTTTAATTGATTGACCATTTGTGCAGCTGGTAAGAACATAATCAGCTGATTTACTAAAATAACATGAGTAAGTGTCTTAGATTCCTCTTTTTCTTTTATTCTTTAGATTTCTTTATCAATTATTTACTATGGTCAAAAAGTTAAATCTACTATTTTCTGCCTTTGTTATTTATGTGGTCAAACAATCAACTTGCTTAGTCCATTGTACTCTTGAATTTATTTAAAATTGATATCCCTCAATCCATAGGACATACAAAAAAATGTAACATTAAGACATCTACCATGTCTACTGGGAATTGAAAGTAATAGAGAAACTATTTTGATATATGGCATAATACTAAGATCATATATATTATTATCAGAATTCATACATGTATTTCTATACACCCTCTTCAGAAAATGAAATTTTATCTCATGGTTCTATTAAATTCTAGTAAGTTAATTGGGTACAAGATATTTTTAGAGATTTAGCACAGTATAGTGGCTCAAGGGTACACTGAGTGGAGGACAAACTTTTGAAATACTTAACTAGTAAACAAAACAAGTCTATAGTCTTTACAATGCTTTATACATGTAGTCAACAGTTTATACAAAATCAGCATCCTCTTTCATTTTCATTTTTTATTTTCAACATTTTAAATATGTTTTTGTTAATGCCTAAAAGTGCTGAAATAAAAAAAAGTTTAAAAGGCCAATGCCAATTATTAGTATGAAGTAGAAACCTTTATGATATATATGTAAGTATTTATATTATTCATATGTAAGTGGCAATAAGTGAAATTAGGCATTAAGCTTAAATCCTTGTCAATAAGGTAATGCCCAGGTAGACTAAGTCTATCATCTAGAAATGATGTTAACAGTCATTATAAAAAATGTATTCTTAAATCCTGAAAAATATGTCCAGGCTTTAAATGCAAGTAAATAAAAAGGCATTTATTCAAAGTTAAAATACATTTGGTACATAATCATGATAATAACATAACAAGAACTGCTGGACTTTAAAATGTAAACTAACTGAAATGATGCCACTATTCTAGCCAAGTTAGTCTAACCTTGGATATAATCAAAGCTGTATATTCACCATCCTTGTCACTTTGTAGTTTAGGGATGCATACCAAAAGTTGTGTAAAAATCAATTAAATCGAAAGTCACCATTGAAGCACATTTTGACGTGAGAACTCTAATGTTACAAACTTTTGTTAGTTTTTTTATTAGCTCACCTGGACCAAAGGGCCAACTGAGCCCTTCATGTCACTTGAGGTCCGTCGTCATCGTCCGTTGTCGTCAGTTAACTTTTACAAAAATCTTCTCCTCTGAAACTACTGGGCCAAAGTTAACCAAACTTGGCCACAAACATCATTGGGGAAAATAGTTTTCACAGACAAATCAGACAACCAATTGTTGGGTTGCTGCTCCTGAATTAATAATTTAAGAAAATTTTGCAGTTTTTGGTTATTATCTTGAATATTATTATGGAAAGAGATACATTATAAACAGCAATAAGGTTCAGCAAAGTAAGATCTACAATTAGGTCAAGATGACCAAAATGGTCAATTGACCCCTTAAGGAGTTATAGTCTATTTTAAGGATTTTTCGTAAATTTTTGTAATCTGAAACTACTGGGCCAAATACATGAAATAGAATCAAATTTTCCCACTTTTTTTTTTTCAATTTTGCCTATTATCTTGAAAACTATAATCAGTCAGGGGTGCTACTTAAACAAGTGATTTCATCATCACTTATTTCAGTGATTTGATAAATTCAGTTATCACCTATTTAAGTGATTTTAGTGTTTTCTTTGATCTTCAAATGCTAATTTCATTGGTTTTCCATATTTTCACAATCTTTTCTATAATTTTCCTACATAAATCAATTATCCCTTTTTCTTTGTATATTAATTTCACCAGTGCGCTTGGGCAGTAAGTTAGTGCGCTAAGGCTTTTAAAAGTACCCTTGGGAATTTTTCTGTAATCAAAAATTCATTAACTACTCTTACTATCAGACAAAGATCAACAATATTAGGTAACCTGATTGGTTTTCTTTAGAGTTAGAATGATCTACTTCAAGGTTACGACCTGATCTACATGCTATTCCAGTTTTTGCATATTTTAAAAAAACTGTAAAAGTGTTAGGCTTATCAAGCAAAAGACAATTTCTGCATGTTCATAGTTGTTTTTTCAATGGAATTGTTGTCTTTTTACCAATAAAAAAATCAAGCTTGTGGGAAAAATATCAAGAAAATGTTATAAACACTTATTAAAGTGATTACATTTTAACTTCTAAAATTACTTGTTTCAGTGATTTTAAAAAGTCTGTGTGAAAATTTTTAATATTTCACAGCCAAAATCACTCGAGGAAGTGATTCTGAAATCACTTGTTTAAGTAGTACCCCTGACTGATAATAGACAGAGAGAAACTTTAAAATGCAAAAATGATCAGAAAAAATACTCTTTTGTGTTTGGAGCAAGAGCTAAATAAGATCATGAAGATAGAGAGAAACTAAACAGACTTCATTGATCAGCAATATAAGATACAAAAAAAAATTTAGTAAAGAACTATTAAAAAAACGAGGATTTCTTTTTGTCGAGTAGCAAGTATCGAGTTATAAAAAGTGAGTATCGAGTTGCAAAAAGCGAGTATCGAGTTGTCAAAAGTGAGTATCGAGTAGCAAAAAGTGAGTATCGAGTTATAAAAAGTGAGTATCGAGTTATAAAAAGTGAGTATCGAGTAGCAAAAAGTGAGTATCGAGTTATAAAAAGTGAGTATCGTGTAGTAAAAAGTGAGTATCGAGTAGCAATATTAATAACCAACAAAAACATTATTTGTAAATAGAATTGTTTTAACAAAAAAATATCCAATTTATTAATCGAATCATACTGTACAATTTACAACATAGAGAGGGTGCAGATTTGATTCTGTCGCATTGCTTGCTTCACACCAACTGGTCAACTGCAATTTTCTCCTCCTCTGAATGAATATGAAGTGAGACCTTTGGTTCCATTGCATTTCTGTGCTGTAGTTGATTTAAACAAGACTTAGAAGTATGTAGATAAGGAATTAAACTGAGTTGATATATAATTAATTATTAATTAA